TATTGAAGCTATTGAGCAAGCGAGTCCGTTGAGCGCTGTTTCTGATAATTTAGATGTATCATTGCCCCATGACGTTAAAGAGAGATTGCTAAGTTTACTAAACACTCACCTCTGTTCTACAGGAAAAATCGAGGAACTCCCTTATAAGTTTGAGATACAGTTAACTGACGAGAATAAGTCATTTTATTTTACACCTAGACGTCTTTCATGGCACGAGCGAGAGGAAGTGAGGAATATCATCAATGGATTGTTGCAGAGGGAAATCATAAGACCCAGTAACTCTAATTTCTGTAGTCCGATCGTGCTCGTTAATAAAAAGGATGGAAGATACCGAATGTGCATTGACTATAGAGCTCTTAACAAAATTACGGTTAAGGATAGATATCCTCTTCCGTTGATGGAAGATTTAATTGATCAACTAGCCGATAAGTCGTACTTTACAAGTCTTGACTTGAAAGATGGATTCCATCATATTCAAGTAGATGAAAGTTCGGTGAAGTTCACTTCATTTGTTACGCCAGACGGCCAGTACGAATACTTGAGACTACCTTTCGATTTGGCCAATGCCCCTGCTGCATTCCAGCGGTGTATTAATATGGTACTTAAGCCATTATTAAATGCAAGGAAAATACAGATATACCTTAACGATATTATGATTGCGACAGCTACGATTGAAGAAAATGTAACAATCCTCGAAGAAGTTTTGCATTTGCTAACTCGGTACAATTTGGAATTGAATTTCAGTAAATGCCGATTTTTAAAACGCGAAATAGAGTATCTTGGTTACAATATCTCTAAGAACGGTATTACGCTGAACGAGTCGAAAGTAAAGGCTATCCAGAAGTTTCCATATCCTAAAACCGTAGGACAATTGCAAGGCTTCTTAGGTTTAACTAGCTATTTTCGTAAATTCATCGTAAATTACGCACGAATTGCGAAACCTTTGCATGATCTCACTAGGAAGAATGTACCTTTTATATTTGGCGAGAGCGAGTTACATGCGTTTGAAACATTACGAGAAAAGTTGTCTAATCATCCCGTGCTAGCTTTGAATAATCCTAGAGCGTATATTGAATTGCATACCGATGCCAGCTCTCATGGTTATGGTGCTGTGTTACTACAACGCCAACAAGACGGTCACATGCACCCTATTATGTATTATAATCGACGAACTACGGCCACCGAAAGTCGTTATCATAGCTATGAGCTTGAAACGCTGGCCATCGTTTACGCCCTTGAAAGATTTCGAGTCTATCTTCAGGGAATATCCTTCGTAGTGATAACCGATTGCAGTGTAGTACAATTAGCTTTGCGAAAAAGACATAAATCCGGGCATTAGTAGATGGTGCATGATGTTACAAAATTATAACTACACGATCGAACACCGTACATGTGATCGCATGCGACATGTAGATGCGTTAAGTCGTAACATTTTAGTAATAGAGCCGCTTTCATTTGATGAAGTATTAGTGTATAGGCAAATACAAGACCCTGTTATTAGAAAGATTCAAAAGGAATTGGAGATTAGCGAAAGTAGTAGATTTGAGCTGCGCAATGGAATTGTGTTTAGGAAGCACGATAATGAGATTCTATTCTATGTCCCTGATGCAATGACTCAGGAAGTAATACGCACATGTCACGACGAGGTAGGCCACGTCGGGCCGGAAAAAACGATTGATCTAATTAAGACTTACTGGTTTCCCAAAATGCGTGCCCGTGTAAAAGAGTATATCTTGAATTGCATTAGGTGTTTAGCATACTCCGTGCCCACGGGTAAGACCGAAGACAAACTTCACATATACGATAAAGGTACTAGACCATTTGAAACGCTACATATTGATCATTATGGTCCCCTCGAAAAAGTGGGACACTGATATAAACAGGGAATGGAAGTAACTCGTTACTTGTAACGAAGTTACAGTTACAAGTTATTTTTTTGGTAACTTTACTAGTAACTGCGTT